ATTTGCAAAGAAAGAAGGATTTCCTAACCAAGAAGATGTTCGCTATAAAGCAAGATTGGTGGCTAAAGGGTACGCTCAAAAGGAGGGAATTGATTACAATGAGGTATTTTATCCAGTCGTGAAACACTCCTCCATTAGAGTTTTGTTGGCTTTGGTAGCACAGTTGAATTTGGAACTAGTTCAGTTAGATGTAAAAACTGCATTTTTACATGGAGACTTGGAAGAGGAAATCTATATGACTTAGCCAGAAGGATTTAAAGTTGCTGAAAAGGAAAATATGGTGTACAAACTTGAAAAATTNTTTACATGGAGACTTGGAAGAGGAAATCTATATGACTCAGCCAGAAGGATTCAAAGTTGCTGAAAAGGAAAATATGGTGTGCAAACTTGAAAAATCGTTGTACGGATTGAAACAATCTTCTAGACAATGGTACAAACGATTTGATAAGTTTATGTTGCGGTAGAAGTACAAAAGAAGCAAATACGATCATTGTCTGTATTTGCGCAAGCTTGAAGATGGATCCTTCATATATCTTCTCCTATACGTTGATGATATGTTGATAGCTTCCAAAAGTCAAGAGGAAATTGAGAAGTTGAAGATTCAACTAAGAAAGGAGTTTGAGATGAAGGATTTAGGTGAGGCGAAGAAAATTCTTGGCATGGAGATAAAAAGAGATAGACATTCAAATAAACTCTATCTATCTCAGAAAGAATACTTGAAGAAAGTAACAGATCGATTTGGCATGAATGAGAACACGAAGTTGGTTAGCACTCCTCTTGCTCCTCACTTTAAGCTTAGTGCTGCTATGTCGCCGAAGAATGAAGCTGAACAAGAGTATATGTCAAGAGTGCCATATGCGAATGCCGTTGGTAGCTTGATGTATGCAATGGTTTGCACAAGACCTGATATTTCACATGCTATCGGAGTTGTAAGCAGGTATATGCATGATCCAAGAAAGGAGCATTGGTAAGCTGTGAAATGGATTCTACGGTATATTTGTAATACTGTAGATGTTGGATTGATTTTTGAGCAGGAAGATAGTCAGTATCTGGTTGGATATTGTGACTCGGATTATGCGGGTGATTTGGACAAGCGTAGATCAACTACTGGTTATGTTTTCACTATTGCAAATGCACCAGTTAGTTGGAAGTCTACTTTGCAGTCAACGGTTGCTTTGTCTACTACTGAGGTAGAGTACATGGCAATTACGGAGGCTGTAAAGGAGGCAATTTGGCTTCAAGGGTTGCTTAGAGATCTTGGTATTGGTCAAAAAAAAAATATCACACTATTTTGTGATAGTCAGAGTGCTATCCAATTAGCAAAGAACCAAGTTTATCATGCAAGGACGAAGCACATTGGTGTTCGATATCACTTTGTACGAGATATTATAGAAGAAGGTGGAGTCATGGTACAGAAAATTCGGACTACAGACAACCCTGCCGATATGCTAACAAAAGTAGTGACTGCGATCAACTTTCAACATTGTTTGAACTTGATCAATATTGTTGAACTTTGAAGATTGGAGTTGAAGACACAATCAAAATTTATCAGTAAGAGAAAATTACAAAAGTGGAATCTTGCCAAGGTGGAGATTTGTTGAATTTTGACAAGATTAATGTGAACTAGTGTGAACATTTAAAACCTCCTTTTAGGAAGAAATTGGTAGATGCATTTTTTCATGCATTTACATTGCATGTTCTCACTTAATATGATGTCATGCATGACCTTATTAAGGCTATTTCTCTTCTATAAATAGCAAGAGTTTTTTTCATTTGTAGATATCTCTCACTTGCCTTCTTATCTCCTAAGGCATTTGAATCTTCTTTCTCTCTTGTAGTATTTTACTTGTATTTTTGGAGTGAAATAAATTTGAGTTGATTGTGTCCGAGGACTAGGCAAAAATCAAATTTTGCCGAACCTCGTTAATTTCTGGTGCTCGTTTTATTATTGTCTCATTTACTATTTATTAGCTACCTTTAGATATAGTAGTTGTGATTTAATCACTCTCTATATATTCGGCTTCCGCAACAGTTTTTACTCCTAATTTATATCAGAAGGGATCATATCACAGCCTGAGCATGAGCTACTATTGGTGAAATATCCTTAAAATCAAGCTTCAATGATTATTATAGTATTCCAACAGAGAATGACAAGTGATAATGGTTCATTCGTCGACCTCCAACAACTGCAAATGAGCATATACTAAAATAATGTAGCTCTGACAGAAGTACTAGAGCTTAATTCTCTTAACCTCTAAAAGCAGTGGAACCAGTTCAGAGAGCTCCATTGTTTGCTAAGGCTTGATTTCAGTATATGTAGGAGGTAATGGCTACTGTCAGAGGCGGATGCAGCATTGTGGCACCGGGTTCATTTGAACTCAATTCTTTTGACGGAGCATAAATCTGGATCTACTCCTTACCACCAGTATATACTTTGTCTGGTTAAGAGGAATAACAGAGCTTTCAAGCACATATCTCGACTAGGGAAATATGTGTTCTGCAAACAGTTATACTACCAAAAACTCAGGCCAATGAGATTTGAAAAATACCTAGGAACTTATAAGAGTAGATCGGAAGTTAGCCCTTGTTTAGGCCTTCCACGACCCGTTCTCTGTTAGAACTTCTTTGTTTTGGCAGCAAGGGCGCATATAGTGAATAAGCTATGCGTTCTTCTGAACCCAATAGCTTTGACTTACAACCTATATATGTGTTAAAAGACTCACTAGATAAGTGCAAATAATAGGTTTCGAACCAGGGAAATTAGACAGAATGTAGTATAATTTTGAATTCGAACTCATAAACTTCAAATCTTGAATTCGCCTATGTTTGGCAGTATCTGCGCTGCTTCTTTCAAAATGCTACACTCTACTTCAACAGAATCATAGAATATATTACTTACAAAAAAATTAAAAAACAAATAGTTAACATTATATGGGAAAACAAAAAGATGCAAACTACATGCAGCATAAAGTTTTTTTTACCGCAGCAGTACACATAATTTGAGGCCAAAAGCTGAAATTATGAACAGAAAAATACCAAACACAGTGTATCAAGTCATCTACTGAACATCATCACAAGTCAAAGAATTTGCACGACAAATATAGTATCTCTATGCATTTATATTTACTGGAACTACATCATATTTGACAAAAGACTTTCTTTAGAAAAATTATAATAGGACTGCAATCTGAGTATCTACAATACAAAGAAACTACCTCCAATCTAATGAAAAACGAATTCTCCTCCTCTCGTTAGGTTCCACAGTCTGCCGCCTCAAGTCTTCTAGATCAAATTTATAGACTCGCACATCTTTTAATTGACATGTCCAAGGCTTGCTTCCACAAGAAGTAGAACGACTTGAATTCTTCATATACATTAAATGATTGTTGAAATATGTAATCATTTGCTTAGTTGAGAATAAGTTGAGTTTCCTAGGATGACAACTCCATAGTAAAGCATCCGCGAAACTTGGGAACTTAAGTGACCCAATTCAATGCACATCTAACACATCAACTTGTGGGATAGCAAATATTCCGCGGTAAGGATCCCAATTTTCCAAGTCGATTTTAATGCAGCTTGGAAAATGAAGGGTAACATGAGACCAAGAGTTCGAGTTAAATAGAAAGTTCCTCAATTTACGAAACCATAAATCACTTAAATTCTCGCGGCTATATAATTCTAGTCGCGAGTGCTTCAATGGGCCAAATGTTTTTGTAGTTTTAAGCACAGGAATTTCATTTCCGACATAGTCAAGTGATTCCAAGTTTGGAGCATCAATCACCGTTGTGCCACTACAACAACGAATCTCCAAGTTCTTAAGAGATTGACTCTCGCAAACTTTAAACTTTTCTTAACCCTATACTAACGATGTTATCTAACATCAAACTCTCAAGGAATTGACATCTAGAAGTAAGGTGCGCGAGAAATCCATCAGATATCCTCACAGACGATAGCTTTAAAGATTTCAGATTCTGACATGCACCAATATCCAACATAAGGGTCTTTTCCGCAAGACCACAAAAAACTAAGTGTTCAAGAGTTGGTGCTTGAATTTCGACAGGCTGTTTTTTATCTATATGAATGGAAACCATCTTGATCTTTTGAAGATTCCGCAACTTAATCTTTTTCAACCCAATACAATGCTTAATAGTGAAACTAACAATCATGGGACAAGTAGTGACCAGAGTCTGAAGCATGTTGTCGTCTAAACGGACACCTAATAGAGAAAGCTCTCTCAACGAATCGCAGTAATTAGACACAGGGCCACTAGATAACGAAAGCTGCATGAGATCACAATCCTTCAAAACCAATTTTCTTAAAGATTTTGCGCTCAAGATAGTGAAAACATGAGGCAACGGGTATAATACACGACCAAAGTCAACATATCCAAACTCGAGATGGTTTACACCATTCTGAAAAGCGATTTTAAGCCACTTATCAATCAGGGGAAGAACTTCACCGGAACCGAAAATAGATAAATTAAACTTCTCTATAGGGATCTTTTTGTCCCTATATCTTTCCAAGATTTCATCCACTTTTTTTATGTGTTTGAAACCATAAACTCTGAATTCCAAATTGGGATGTGTTAACCAAGCTTGTAACCATGTTTTTGAGAGAATGGTCAATCGGGCTGCTTCTTTATAGCCAAAGTGGGAGAGTACAGTGTGAATAAGACAATCAGGCAACATGTCTGCTAACGTTGTTTGGGGTTTAGAAGATGCTATGTGTTGGGTTTTTAACCTTAAATGTAGCTTAAAAGAGGGTGAATGAGAAATAGAGGAAAATTGAAAATATTCGAGACTTTCCTCCTTGACAAAGGGACATTGTCCCATATTGGAAGAGGAAAAGGTTTTTGATGGGTATATATACAATTGCTCTTCTTCTAGCTCTTAAAGAGTTAAGAAGAAGGCAAGCCTCGCGCCGTCATCATTCGGCTTTGGATGATTGATTGATTGATTTTTTAGACTAAATTTATTTGTTAATAGTAAATATTAACATAAATGTTATTAAATATTCGATTTTTTGTAAACGAAATATTAATATTAAATCCAACGGAATAGTATACGCCCTTCGCTTTTTGTAAAAGTCATTTACGTTATGGTCGTTTTACACAAACAACCCTTCTGAAGAGTTGCGCCTCTTTAGTTTTGAAGAGTTGTACCTCTTTAGTTTAAGCTCAACATTGGCTATAAATACCAGTCCATTCTCTCAGATTTTTAATACGAATTTCTGAGTTTTCCTCCTTTCTTTTGCATTGTTTTAACTACAAAGAAAGCAACAGTAAGTGTGATTTGCTACCGATCTTTGTATTCGCTGAAATACTGGGGTTTGAAGTACCGCTACACCAGTTTGTAATTCGTTCTATCCTGGGAGAAAATAATCCACAATCTTGGGTACTAGGAGGAAATTAAATTCCTTAAGGAAACACTGTGAATTCAGTGGGCTCAGATTAAATTCGGTTTCTTTTATATTTCTGTTTATATGTTATTTTATCTTCTCCAGAATTATTTTACAAATACAGCTTACTATCAAGCTTAAGAAATTTAATATTTTCTGTATTTGTGTTATACTCACTATTCTGGAGACTAAAACCTTTATAGTTTTCTACTCCATTGGAGATTAAGATCTACGTGATTTTAACGTTTGTTTGTGTCATTCTTTTACAGAAATGACAAATGACAACGGGAACCAGACTGTTCCTATGGTGATTGCCAATGCATCGACAAGCCGAACAACACTGGCATTGGCACCGGCAGAAAAACCCGAAAAATTTTTCGGGATTGATTTCAAGCGATGGCAGAAGATGTTCTTCTACTTGACGACTTTAAGTTTGCAGAAGTTCATTAAGGAAGATGTTACTGTTCTGCCCAATGAAACTCCAAAAAATGAACGCTTTCTCGTGACTGAGTCGTGGAAGCATTCTGATTTTCTATGCAAGAATTACATTCTTAGCGGACTGGAGGACGATCTGTATAACGTCTATAGTAATGTGGAGACGTCAAAACAACCGTGGATAGCGCTTGAAAGGAAATACAAAACAGAAAATGCCGGGTTAAAGAAATTTATTGCCGCTAAATTTTTAGACTACAAAATGGTAGATAGCAAGTCTGGTATTACCCAAGTCTAGGAATTACAATTGATTATTCACGATCTCCTTGCTGAAGGTATAAGACAAATTAATACTAATGTTGAAAGTATTAATTTTATTGTTTTTATTAACAGAATTTCCATTGAAGGTCTTGTCATCAATGAAGCATTCCAAGTTGCAGTGATGATTGAGAAGTTGTCTCTTTTGTGGAAGGACTTCAAAAACTACTTGAAATACAAAAACAAGGAGATGTCCCTTGAATATCTCATTGTTCGGTTGAGAATCTAAGAGGACAACAAAGCTGCTCAAAAGAAAGGCTGTGGAAACTCAACAATAATGGGACCAAACATTGTTGAGGATACTCCTCAAAGTAATAGAAAGAGGACGAAGGCTTCTGGACCGAAAAGCAACCCAAGCAAGAAGCGGTTCAATAAAAATTGCTACAACTGTGAAAAAGCTGGACACAGATCTGCAGATTGTCGTGCTCCAAAGAAAGACAAGAAGAAGGGTCAAGCAAACATGGTTGAAAAGCACGAAGATGTTGATGACTTATGTGCTATGCTTTCTGAATGCAACCTGGTAGGAAATCCTAAGGAGTGGTGGATTGATTCTGGAGCCACTCGCCATGTTTGTGTTATTAGAGAAGTGTTTGCTACATATGCTCCTGTTGGACCAGAAGAGACGCTTTCTATGGAAAATTCTGCAACGGCCAAAATTGAAGGATGTGGGAAGATATTTCTGAAAATGACTTCTGGTAAGGTGGTGACTTAGAACAAAGTCCTTCATGTTCTAGAGATTAGAAAGAACTTAGTCTGTGCTGGACTTCTTGTTAAGAACAGGTTTAAGTATGTTTTTATATCCGATAAGGTTGTAATAAGTAAGAATGAGATGTTTGTAGGAAAAAGGTTACCTCACTGAGGGCCTTTTCAAGCTGAATGTAATGGTTGTTGATAATAATAATAATAAAATTTCAGCTTCTTCTTACTTATTTGAGTCAAATGAATTATGGCATATACGTTTGGGTCATGTCAATTATAAAACCTTGCGAAAAATGATTAATTTGGAAATATTGACTATGTTTGAATGCGACAAATTAAAATGTCAAATATGGGTGGAATCTAAGTATGTTAAACATCCTTATAAATCAGTTGAAAGGAATTCAAATCCTTTAGACTTAATTCACATAGATATTTGCGACATGAAGTCAATACTATCTCGCGGTAGAAAGAAGTATTTCATAACTTTTATTGACGACAATACTCAATAATGTTATGTTTACTTACTTAAAAGTAAAGATGAAAAAATAGACGCATTCAAGCAATACAAAAATGAAGTTGAAACGCAACTTAACAAGAAAATCAAAATGATAAGAAGTGATAGGGGTGGTGAATATACATCTCCTTTTGAAGAAATATATTTAGAATATGGAATTATTCATCAAACAACGGCCCCTTACACGACCAAATCCAATGGGATTGCGGAAAGAAAGAATAGTTCATTAAAGAAGATGATGAATGCATTATTGATAAGTTCTGATTTGCCACAGAACTTGTGGGGGGAAGCCGTTCTTACGGTTAACTGGATACTAAATCGAGTACCCTATAGCAAAACACAATCCATTTCATATAAAAAATGGAAAGGAAGGAAGCCCAACTTGAATTATTTTAAAGTGTGGGGGTGTTTGGCAAAAGTGCAAGTTTCTAAACCCAAAAGAGTAAAAATAGGACCGAAAACCGTTGATTGTATTTTCATAGGATATGCGACCAATAGTAAAGCATATCGATTTCTGGTTCATAAATCAGAAAATTCCGGCATTCATAATAATATGGTTATAGAATCAGATAATGTTGAGTTCTTTAAAAATATATATCCGTATAAAAAGGAATGTGAGTCGATTGATGAAGCATCTAAACAACGTCGGGAAGAAACAAAAGAAAGTACATTTAATCAGGAGGATTCAAGACGTAATAAACGTCAAAGAACTTCTACTTTATTTGGACCAGATTTTGTGACTTCCTTATTGGAAAATGAGCCTCGAATATTTAAAGAAGCTATGTCTTCTTCGGAATTATTATTTTGGAAAGAGGCAGTCAATAGTGAAATAGAATCCATATTGAACAACCATACATATGAATTGGTTGATCTTCCTCCTGGAAATAAACCTTTGGGTTCTAAATGGATTTTAAGAGGAAAATGAAAGATGATGGCACTATTGATAAATATAAAAGCAAGACTTGTAGTCAAAGGGTATAGACAACGAGAAGGTCTTGATTATTTTGATACATAGTCTCCAGTTACAAGAATTACGTCCATACGAATGTTAGTAGCATTACCTGCAGTTTATCAAATGGACGTTAAGATGACCTTCTTAAATAAAGATTTGGAGGAAGAAATATACATGGAACAACATGAAGGGTTTGTGGTTCCAGGTAAAGAAAAGAAGGTGTGTAGACTTGTTAAGTCCCTTTACGAACTAAAACAAGCACCCAAACAATGGCTTGCAAAATTTGACCAAACAATGTTGTCAAATGGTTTTAAGATAAATGAATGTGATAAATGTGTGTACATTAAAAATGTTTCAAATTACATAGTCGTTGTTTGCTTATATATGGATGATATGTTTATAATGAGTAATGACATTGCCAACATAAATGCGACTAAGCGTATGCTAACTAGAAAGTTTGATATGAAGGACTTGGGAGTTGCTGATTTAATTCTGGGGATTAAGATCCATAGAACTCCTCAAGGTCTGGCATTGTTACAATCTCATTATATTAAGACAATGCTTGAAAAATTCAAGCACTTAGGGTTTAAAGTTGCAAAGACTCCAATTGACGTGAATCTTGCATTAGCAAAGAACAAAGGCCAAAGCATATCACAATTGGATTATGCTTGTGTGTTGGGATGCTTAATATATATCATGAATTATACACGACCAGATATAGCTTGTGCTATAAGTAAATTGAGTCGATACACGAGCAATCCGGGTCAATCTCATTGGATGGCAATGAAACGAGTTTTGGGATATTTAGAACATACCCAGGACTTTGCTTTGCACTACAATAAATATCCTGTGGTGATTGAGGGATATTATGATGCAAATTGGATCACCGGTTCAACTGATTTTAAGTCCACAAGTGGATATGTATTCACTATTGGTGAAGGAGCGGTATCTTAGAAGTCGTCCAAGCAAACTTGTATTGCCCGCTCTATAATGGAGGCTAAGTTCATAGCCTTAGATAAAGCCGGTGAAGAAGCTGAATGGCTCCGGAATTTCTTGAAAGACATTCCATTTTGTCCCAAACCGTTGGCACCAATATGCATACATTGCAATAGTTAAGCTGCAATTGGAAGGGCTGGGAGCGTGATGTATAACGGTAAATCTCGTCATATACGACGAAGACATAAAACTATTAGGCAATTACTCTCTAAAGGAATTATCACGATTGACTATGTAAAGTCAAGCGATAATGTGTTAGATCCACTTACAAAAGGCCTAACTAGAGAGGTAGTTGAGAAATCATTGAGGGGAATGAGACTATGACCGAGAACAAGCCATTGTAGCGGTAAATCTACCTAGAAGACTGGAGATCCAAAGAT